TTTATTTACGTGGTTAAAAGTTACAAATTACAGATATAATTGACTGTTGATTTATTTGATTGCTAAATATGATGCATTCCATGTGCTACTATAACCAAATTTTACTGCTTATCAGTCAATGAGTAGCAATGTGAAGGGTCACAAACTAAGAGAAACACAAACTCTTTAAAGATTTTTCCAAATCACAATTTCTAAGAGAAGTATAGAAACCTTGAGAGATTCTTCCAAATCAACTCAGACATTTCAATTTGTTCTAATATTCTCTCCCTCGTCATCATATGCTCTGGTAAATGTCGATAGATAGCACAATAGAAGGTGTAAAATTTTGGCTCTGACACCAAACAAAGCCTTTGGAAAGTGATTTTAGTATTTGGAGAGATATCAGTAAAGTTGTGAATGTGAGTGCATCCTTAAATTCTTTTTCTGATGTTTATTTTCTCTTAAATTTCTATGAAAGAGTTTTCATACTAGTGTAAGATTTTCACCTTTCCCTGTGGCTGATATTTTATATTTTACTGCTTTAGATTAACCGAATTGAATGCATTGCAGGTCACATGGTGTCGACTTATTCTCTTTTGAGTAGACTGGGTGGGCTTTATTCCCTGTACTACCTTTATGAGACGCAGCCATTCAAGCCTCCTTTCAAAATTTATATATATCTAGGTATGTATATACATACAACCCTTTTAACATGATATATCTTGAATTGGCTATGGACATACAACCCTTTTAACATGATATATCGTGAATTGATGATGAAGTGGCTATGGAAGTTTGCAGCAGATGAACAATCACTGTGGACGGAGGTGGTTACGGAGAAATACGGAACGGAGGGAAAATGGACAACCAAATCAGTGAGAACTCCATATGGTGTCGGTGTGTGGAAGTCAATTAGGAATCTGTGGCCAAAACTGATTAACAAATCCAAGTTTAAGGTAGGAAATGGTAGGAAAATCTCACTGTGGGATGACAATTGGCTAGGACAAGGACCATTGAAGGATCTCTTTCCTGACATATATTCCTTGAATCAGCAACAAGTAACATTACACGAGGCATGGACTAATCAGGGATGGAATCTTACATTCAGAAGATTGCTAAATGATTGGGAGATTGAAAGAGTAACTGACTTTTACAATACATTGGAGCGATTTAGTGGTACCAATTCTAATCAAGATCTTATCGTATGGCAAATGAATAGGCAGGGCAGGTTTTCTGTTGGGTCTGCTTACAAGGAATTCAACTTGTCTAACAACCAGGTTGGTTGTTGGCCATGGAACATGATATGGAAAGTAAAAATTCCATACAAGGTTGCTTGCTTTACATGGTTACTGGCAAAAGAGGCAGTACTAACACAGGACAACTTAATCAAAAAAGGATTTCACATGTGTTCTAGATGTTACTTATGCGGAGAGGAGGCAGAGACAATTAGCCATCTTTTTTTGCACTGCAAAGTCACCGTACAACTATGGAGAATCTTCATCAGCTTAAGGAGAATTTCATGGGCAATGCCGGGAAGAATTAAGGATGTTCTAACTTGCTGGAATAAAGAGAGCAACTTTTCTAGCTATAAAGAGAGATGGAGAATAGTTCCAGCATACATATGGTGGACAATCTGGGAAGAGAGAAACCAAAGATGTTTCGAAGACAAGTCCAGTAACATCCAGAAGATAAAGATGAAATGTTTGGCTCTTTTCTATTTTTGGTGTAAAGGAAAGTTTATGGAGGATCATGAATCAATTTTTGATGTTCTAGATTCCTTGTAAGATGACCAAGGTTTTATGGGCACTTCCTTTGTAAATATGGGTGACTTCACTTTTTTAGTGAAGTCTTTTTATTAATATATAAATATGTTACCTTCTCAGAAAAATATATATATATATATATATATATATATATATATATATATATATATATATATATATATATANCTTGTAGAACTGGTTCACCATAATTTATTGTTCCTGATATGTAGCATAGCATCAGCCTTGTTTAAATCAAGTATGACATTCTATTCATATTCCTTTAGCTGTAGATCTTTGAGGATATAAAAACTTTTATGTTTGTGGGTGCGTAGCCGCTGTAATTCTTCTAATCTAGCAGTGCCAATCAGAGAAGAAATGTCCCCCTGGAAGACCTTGGGTTATTTGGGGATTCCTTAAATTAATATTTGGACTTTGAAACTCTTACTTTGGCTAGTGTTTATTTACAAAATTTGGCAAGTGTTTAATTGCCACTTTAGTTTACTGTGCAACTGTCAGTAGCTTTTGATGCTTTGTAGTTTGACGATAATTCTTTTTATTCCATTTGGCAGGAGACCTGAAGAATCTTCGGAACATTGTCGCAGAGGCAAAGGCTAAAGGTGTTAAAGTAGTCCCTGCTTTAGTCAAACGTATGTTAGACAGGAACATGTTTCTTTTTGGGTCTGTGGATGTGAATGAAGGCTCTGTAGCTGAGAGATTAGATGAACTGACGGAAATACAAAATGCAAGTATCCGTATAGCATCCAAAAAGTATGTTACTGATACTTTTCTGGCAACCGTTTGTTATATTTCACAGCCTTCTCTAGACATTTGCTCACCTTGTCTCCTTGAATGACGTAGGTTATTTGCAAATACCCGGATCGAGCACTTCACCCACATGGATATGGTATGTTTGTAAGACTGTTTTTTAAAGTCAAAGAGAGGGGCTCTATCAATTTTCCATTCTAGAATATGCTTCCAGCTGTGTGCTTTTGCCTACAGTGTCATATGGATTGATGTAGCTAAATATATGGATTTGTTGAACTCGGCCACCATTTTGATAGAAATTTTGAGTAGACCTGTACTTTACTGATTTTGCAAGGAAATTGTCAGGTGCAACATCATCAAAAATAAAAATTATAAGTAGGATTTTAGTAATTTTGGACCAATTGACTGTGTAAAACTTCTTTCATTAAATTGGTTGGATTTCTTCTATCCAAAAAAATTCATATTCTTTCTCTGTTTTTGTGTGGGTCTGTGTTTGTAGTTATGTAATTTAGCAAGTATTTTAAGAATAGCATAAGATTGTTCTTTTATGATTCTTTTTCTTGGAGTGGATGCTTAGGTTTTACCGTAGCGGTGTGATAGTTAAAAGGGCAAGTGAAATGAAGTACTACAAAAGGAATGGACTAATCTCAAGTTGCCTGTTTGTGAGAGGAAAACAATAAAGAGGTTTCTTTTTAAACTTTAATCACAAAAACCAGATATCTTGTTAGAGGATCATTTGAACATATGATCCATTATTTGTATTGATCGGGAGTTTTTTGATTTGAGTTGATCAGTATAAGCAAATTAGCTTGTTACCTGTCCCTAAAAAGTGGATGAGTTAGCTTTTCGGGAGGCTGCTATAGTGATGCAAGTGCTTTCATTATGTCTCTTGTCACTTAACCTGCTATTGCATGTCTCTATCTTTGACTTCAGAGTGCTGAATTCATATTCTCATTTATTCCAGGGCGTGGAGCTTGAGGTCGATTTGCTCAAGCAAAAGTCAGCAGAATATGCAAGGGCCAAGGAACTTGCTATTAGAGGTAACCTCAATGAGCTTCTTAAGCTTTTAACGGAAAACATATTTTGGTCATTTTTTATTTGTTGTCAGCAATATTGATGTGTTAAGTAAGGCACATTTTGTATTATTTCGAAAGGATTATCCAAGTCTGAATAATACTGGTTAAATTTTCTTCCATCTTAGAAGTATTCCGTTGCTAAAGTCAATATCCAATGTCAAGTAATAAATAAAAACATTTATGGTCTAAATTGTATATCCAGTACATACTGAAGTTATTGTGAATATGTTGACGCAGTAAAGCTACCAATTAGTTCACAAACTATTGCATTCCGTTTGTTCAGAATGTATATAGGAAGTTGCAAATGAGTTTAGTTCTCAAGATTCTCAGGCGATTAGGCGCGCACTAAATCTCATAAGGCTCTTTTGCATCCAAGATTTTTACTTTCATTTTAAAGTCGAGGAGGACATCTTTTTTCACTTGCTTTTTCTTTTTTCTTGAAGCGGCTAGAGACATGGTGGATGTAGAAAATATAAAGCACATAACAGAGAAGCAGACATTGATAGGGGATGTAGTTGAGAAGACTGCTGAGGACTGGAAAGCTCAGAAGGAATTATTCTATCAACAAATTGGTTATCAGCCTGTCAAAGACTCGCTTGACATTGTAAAGGAAAAGCAGGAAAAGTTCTCCCAACAAGAAGTGGCTGAAGAGCAGGATGGCAATGAAGACTTCGGTAAGGAACTAGAAGCAGTGCTATTGTCGGAGCAAAACGAATGTGATTTTGAAGAATAAGGAGAGAACTTGTATAAAAAGCTTGTGTTTAGAAACTGGACAATGTTTTTAGAAGGTTTGTCACTAAGTTATAAGTATGCTTGTAAATGATTTTTGCAGCTACATGAAAGAGCTTGCAGCTTCTAGTAGACTGTCCTGTATATTGAACATTTTCCAGAAATGGGACAGGCACATGAAATTTTTTGTTCATTATATAGATAATATGAAAGTTTCCTGTCTTTCTATCTGTACTGAAGCTTCTCGCTCTCCTTTCTTTGCTCGCGAGCAGGAAGCAGACCAGCGGGCATATTTTCTTTGCTCGCGAGCAGGAAGCACATCAGCGGGCATATGCTGCGTGATTCTACTGTGTTTTTTGTGCTATGGTAGGAACGTTTTTATATATGAAGATGTTAAGGACATATGCAAAGAGAAAAAGATGGCTTCTTCAAGATCAAAAAACTTGCACGTCTTGGGTTATGATAAAAAGTTTAAAGAAAGAATTAAGCTAAATAACAACCCACTCAATTTCTTAAACTAAATACCCATCAACGTTTGTCGAGTGTGTCAAAGACATAGGCGCTGCTCCATCAACATGTGTGCTCCCCTAGAATTACTAAATAACTAAGGGTATTTCTGTAATTAACACATTTCATGTTAGCTGACTCTTTCGGTTGCTGGCTCAACACGTTGATTCTCATCTTTAACATGTATATCGCTTAACAAAGTGATCTGGACGGGAGTTCACAGCATATAAATTTGGATTTTGTTGGATAATTATGAGAAAATGTTTAGATAAACAGAAAGAATTATCCTGACTGTTGTGTCACTTTTGTTGTGTAGCATACGTGGAAGCAAAAGGTGACCGTAGTTTTATCTATTTTCTGCTTTTATTTTCCCTTGTTCTTAAACTGCAAAAGCAGAACTTCCTTTTAGGTTAAAAGATTGAACCTGACGTTGTTATTACCTTTGTATTGTCAGTTAGTTGAAATCTATCAAGTTTTAACTTCTAACCTTCGGTGTCTCTGCGGAGAATTTGGTGATTGTATGTTTAGTTTCCTTCTTGCCGTTATATTTTTTGTTGATGGACTGTGATATGGTTTTACAGATATGATGAATTCTATCTTTCTTTTGCTTCCCTCGCCAATGGCCCTTGATGTTGAAGATTGTGGCAAGTTGAAGACCGTCTCTTTTTGAATAGCTTGTGCAGCAGGTGCGTGAAAAAGTTTAGAACATACAGAATAAGTAAGTAAAGGGAAGATTTTAACTTTAATTTTCAGTAAGTTGGAAATAATCACAGTTGTTAGTATGTACATTGTCATTGAAAATTTATTAGAAAATGTGCAATGATAAGAAAGATTTATGGGATGTCTATGAAAATTAAGACAGCTTGATTTTGGAGAGGTGATGTGTTTCAAGAAAATAACTATCCAGCTCATGTATAGTTGGGCGCACAAGTTCAACGTTATTTATTAGTCACCGTCTGTGTATAATGTTTTAAGTATGCATAAAAATTACTCAAATGGTCACGCAATTATTCCAAATTATTTTCTAAAGTCATTTTTTTTTCGCTGTAACAACAAAGTCACTGAACTATGCCTATTGCACTCAGAAGGTCACTAACTAAATTTTCTAAATTTTAAAACCTATTTTACCCTCTAAATTATAATTATTTATCTTCTTTTTATTTTTTAAACTTTTTAATATTATAATTTTCCCCTTTTTAATTTATATTATGGAATACCTATAGAACAAATAAATATTATTTATATATTAAAACAATAAAAGTATTTAAGCATCTATAATGCTGGAATAATAAAATAATGAGCACAGTAAAAAAAACTAGTTAGAATAATCTGTTCGTAATAATAATTATATCATCAACAACAAAAATTTAAAAATTTATTTACGCAATTCAGAGTGAAAGAAAATAAAGGTTGTAAAATATATATTCCATGCAAATAATATAAAAATAATTATTTTAATAAAGGTATTTTTATAATATAAATTATATATTCTTTAAAAATATGCTCAATTATATTATTATGTTTCTACCAACTTTCCGACGAAATAATTTATGTGACCGGAAAACTGGGGGACTATCTTAGGGTAAAATATGCAATGTTAAGTAATTATTTTTGTATTACGTAATTACAAAAATACATTTATTTAAATAATTAATTTTGTATTACGTGCATGGAATATATATTTTACAATCCTTTATTTTCTTTCATTCTGAATCGTGTAAATAAATTTTTGAATTTTTGTTGTTAGTACTATAATTATTATTACTAAAAAATTATTCTAATTAGTTATTTTTATTATGCTCATTATTTTGTTATTTCAACATTATATGCTTAAATACTTTTTATTTTTTTAATTTATAAATAATATTTATTTATTCTATAGGTAAGTCCAAAATATAAATTAAAGAGGGAAGAATCATAATATTAAAAAGTTTTAAAAAAATAAAAAAAGAATAAATGTCTATAATTTAGAGGGCAAAATAGGTATTTGGCAATCCAAAATTTGAAAAATTTAGTTGTGTGACTTTGTGAGGGCAATAGGCATAGTTCAATGACTTTGTTGTTACAAACTAAAGAAAAGTGATTTTAGGAGATAATTTGGGACAGTTGAGTAACCATTTGAGTAATGGACTCAATATATGATAGGATATCTTGTCTAGTAGTATGTAATTGTCAAAGTAGTTAAAGGAGTCAAGACATTTCGAGGTTTATATTAAGAGATTTCACGAGAACAACCCATTAAAACTATCACAATTCATTTTAAAAGCCAGTTTTCCCAATACTCAAAGAAGCTCCCATATTTTAATTCCCTATGCCCTATGGCACATATGAAAAAGTCGGAACCGCACTACTTTTAAAGGCAGGACCCATTCTCTTAACATTCAACATATTATAGGCCAAGCATCTTAATTTTTACACATAGGTCTAAACTACACCACAATCCATACATAACCTCACATATACGTTAAATAGAACCCTCCTGCAAATGGATTTTATAAATTAAATTCCGACGGAGCATGTAGTATTCCTAACCAAAAACGGGGTTTTGGGGGTGTAATTAGAGATTCCAATGGGAAATCATAACTATATGGAACTTACTGGCCTACAGGAAGGTTTACGACTTGCTCTCCAACATAACTTCACCCCACTGGAAGTCAATGTGGATTGGACTGAAGTAATTTCTTTACTCCGTTGCCTAAATCCTCACTACTCATCCTTAAGTCGTGAATGCAGGTACCTACTACATCAACTGGATAGACTATGGGTATTGCACACTTACAAGGAGCAAAGTCAAGTGGCAGACAAACTAGCTAAATATGGAGCTACCAAGATCATAATGACCCAACTACTGGTTTTGTGCAACCACCTTCTTTTGTAATACAAGTGTTATTAGCAGACCAACAGGGAACACTCCAAAGGCGCACTACACGTACAATTATGCCGTTGGAACCCATTTCTTTTTGTTTAGAGAACTTGACAAACTCTTGTAATAGTAACAACCTACTATTTCGTAATGTAGCACACAATGGAGGCAGTGACCATTCTTATTTTTGTAACACTGAACCACCACGGACTTTGCTCCTTGTGATACCACTTAATCTATGATATGTGCCTTTTGATTGACCAAAAAAAAGGAGTCAATACATAATCCTTTTTCCAATAGCATTAGCGTGTCATTCTTTAATTGTTTTAGTTGTGAAAATGAGAAGGTAGTGGTTAGCGCGGAGCCAAAATTTTATTTTATCGGTTTTACATTTTAGAGCGATGACTTTTAATATTAGTAATAATTGGATTCTAAATTTAATAAGCTACTGAATTTGATCGAACGCGTAGCCGAGCTTCTAGCTCTACTTCCGAGTGTGATCACATTAACTTCTACCTCAAGTTTGTGATAAATCTATATTCCCTTCTGTATTGGTCAAAATCTGACCGCTGTGGTCGACCCAATTGGGACCACGTCCAAACAATGGGATAAGAAAAGACGACACTATTTACGCCAAACCACGTATTCACCGAACGATGAAAGCGGACGTAAAGTAAGGGGGCTATGGCCAAATACACAACAATGACTCCATGACTATATATAGGGATGAGACCTTCCTAGAAAGTGAGGCTTTTTTCTATCCTTCTCCTCTGTAATCTCCTTAGTGAAAAGGAAGAAAAACAATCTTCCAATAAATATCTACAACAGTCATCTTCACCAATCGGTGAAAGAAGAAATGAAAGGCTTCGATATTCTACCGTTTCTACTTCATTTTATATATCATTTTTTGGTTATCTATAGATCTGGAATTTACTATGTTTGGCTAAGATTTACCTCTTTAACTTTTTCTAATTGATTTAATCAAAAAGGTTTCAATATCTTTTGGTCAAATAATTTGACGCCGTCTGTGTGGATTTCTTACTGAAAACTTCCAAATCTTCTCCAGATCAAAAAACGAAAACATGGCCGCTCACCAAAGAGAACGGTAAGGATATGCTTGCAACTGTTTCAAAGACAATAGAGGAGACGGAAAACAAAAATTAAGCACCCACTGACCAAATGAGGGGAAAGAGAGCTGAATCCGGTTGCCGAATTCAGAAAACATCACCCCCATCAACCATTAAAGCGTCAAGCAAAAATGAGTAACGCTACAGATCCACCTTCATTCTCCAACTCATTGAATCAGAACAAGGAGAAGGTCATCCTTGACCACCTTCTGCCGATTGCTCAAACAATAACGTGGGAGCCACGCGGGCGAGCGAGCGATGGGGAAACAACTTAACTGAAGAAGGGTAAATTACTACAAAACGACCGAAACATCATCCACCAAGCAAACCCAACTCCTAGGAAATGATATCCACTGAGTGGTACTCCCTCACCCTCACCAAGAAGGCGTCCCAAAAGAACCTTCCCAGGGACCTAAAAGTTGGGCCGACGAAGGGGAGATCCCCTGAGTTAAAGTGTAATTCATCGTCCCGCCCAACAATGACATTTCCAGATCGGAAAATAAAAAAGTTAGACAGGGAAAATCTAATATGCGTGTGAAACGAGTGCGAGCAAAGCAGCAGCATTCCCTGCTCCCCGACATCACACTCCCGAAGCAAATAAAATCAGGCGAACTAGGACTCCCCAGTAGATACCCGACTCTCCAAAAAACCGGGACTAACGACGGGTTAATATTTCGACGAAAGTTTGAAACAATACCCTTAAGGACAAAGTCCTTCGCCAAAAAGAAGAGTTCGACCTCGATCGAACAACGACGGGTTAATATTTCGACGAAAGTTCGAAATAACACCCTTAAGGCCAAAGGCTTTCGCCAAAAAGAAGAGTTCGACCTCGATCGTACAACGAAGGGTTAATATTTTGACGAAATTTTGAAATAACACCCTTAAGGCCAAAGGCCTTCGCCAAAAAGAAGAGTTCGACCTCGATCGAACAATGACAGGTTAATATTTCGACGAAAGTTCGAAATAACACCCCTAAGGCCAAAGGCCTTCACCAAAAAGAAGAGTTGGACCTCGATCGAACAACGACGGGTTAATATTTCGACGAAAGTTCGAAATAACACCCTTAAGGCCAAAGGCCTTCGCCAAAAATAAGAGTTCGACCTCGATCGAACAACGACGAGTTAATATTTCAACGAAAGTTCGAAATAACACCCTTAAGGCCAAAACCCTTCGCCGAAAAGAAGAGTTCGACCTTGATCGAACGACGACGAGTTAATATTTCGACGAAAGTTCGAAATAACACCCTTAAGGCCAAAGGCCTTCGCCAAAACAAAAAGTTCGATCTCGATCGAACAACGACGGGTTAATACTTTGACGAACGTTCGAAATAACACCCTTAAGGCCAAGGGCCTCCGAAAAAGAAAAAAGTTCGACCTCGATCGAACAACAACAGGTTAATATTTCAACGGAAGTTAGAAATAACGCCTTTAAGGCCAAGGGCCTTCGCCGAAAAGAAAATTTCGGCCTTGATCGAATGACGACATGGCAATACTTTATCAGAAAAGAGAAAAGGAAAGAAAGATTGGGACTCACTTTGGGATAATGCTTCGATATAAGCCCGAAAGTAATATCCTCACGGCTAAGGTCGCTATTAAAAAAAATAGTTCGATACCGTTCGGACCATGATAAGAAAACATCTCAACACAAGTTCGAAAACATCGTCTCGCTAGCCGAAGCCTCCATCAAGGTCCCATTCAACCCACGTGACACTAAATTCCCAAAGAGTAGGGAACTCGTCATATGGGAATCTACTTCGCACCAAAGTTATGAAGAGCAAAATAGGGGAAAAAAATATAAAGAGGGCATATAACAATGAAAAATTCCTCTTTACTCAAAGTCACTGCGCAAACAGTCACAGATTACATACGGCCCGAACCAACAGTCTAAAAAAAGGGGGAGAAACAACGACAACCAATAACAAATAAAAAAAGGACAGAAAACAGACAAAGACAACATTCTTTCACTCGGCGTCATCGCCGCTACCATCATCACCACCATTTCCAGGAAGTCCTCCCTCATCATCCGCTCCCTCATCGGCCTCCGGCGTCACAGAGTCATATCCATAATTGACACAAGCCTCTCGTTCCTTTTCCCGATCTCCTTCATATACAGCCTCGGTAACGTTGCACCACCTCCCAGAAGTTCTTATATATGTCCTGCTGGGCTTCAACATAAACCCAAAGCTCGTGCAAATAACGGGGAACATCGGCGGAGGCAGATTCAATTCGAGCCAACAGTTGCTCCTTTTCAGCCTCAAGGGCAGCGACCCGGTCTCCTAAGGACGACGCCTCACGGTCGATTTCGCCAATCAAGCCTCGCTTCCATTAGCGTGGTTGTCGCCCTCTCCGACTCTTGCTCGGACCGGAGGACGCGGATAGTATTCTCTAGAGCCTCCGCCCTCGCCAAAGCCACTGACCAGGCGCTCTCGATGTTCTCCAACCCGGCTATCTTCCTCTCCAACTCGGCTAATTTCCCCATCTACTCCGCACTTATCGCCTCGACCTTGATAAGATTCTGATCCATCCAGACTACATCGACCTCAGCTTCCCCTGAAGATATTCACACTCTGCAACAACCCCTTTACCCAACTGAAGATCTTCGTCCTTTGCACGAAGTTGCTCCTCGAGTGCGGTCTTGCTAAGAATAGCCTGCATCAATTCCTGATCCCTCTTCTCCAACTCCTCGCCAAGGGACCGATCACCAGGGTTCGCCTTCAGCCGCTCATGCATCTCACGACACTTGTTGCGATAGCCGATACTTCTCCAACATCTTCAAAAAAATCTTGGCCTGAATGTCGGCCCTGCGAACACTCTCTATTTCCACCATATACGTCTGAAAAACGAGAAGATGGGTTAAAACCATATCACCAAGAAAAACAAAAGAAATATGAAAGAAAAAGTGTAACGTACTCTCAAGCCCATAGCGGCCACTTCATGCATCAAATCAATATCGGGAACATCCCGAAGAGCCGCATTCTCAGCAGCATAGCACAAGATGTCAAAATGCAGCACCAAGTCCTCCGTATCCCCCAAGAGATTGATATCCGACGAGATCTCAAGAATACGGGATGGACTTTCTGCATGAACCACAGAACGGGTAAGACCCTCTTCAAACTTCCGAACATCATCAGGATCAAGGTCAGATTCATACTCGTAGTCGTCGACCATGATGCCTTTTCCCCTCTCTGCGGCCGACGATAAAGCACGACCCGGCACTGAAGATGAAGGCCCGTCCAAAGCAGCAACTGCGGTCTCAAGGATCTGACCCCTCGTAGCGGTAGGTTGTCGGTCAATCATAGCGGCCGGGATCCCCGCCGGTGGGGCAGATATAATGGCTGACTCTATCTCCACAGGTGGAACGGCACCAACTCCCACCTCAGACCCCGTCAAGGGAAGGTCTTCCTCCATATTTATCATAGCCGTAGGAGCCGCTTCAGTCTCTACTCGCCACCTCTTTGATGGCCCCTCCCCATCTGCGGCATGGGAAGATCCCTCCGTTGGGTAAATGACAGGGGTCGGAGTCCTAACTCGAGGGGAAGCCACCGTGCGTACAACTACGGCTGTAGATTCAACTGAGACAGCCCTCGACGAAGGTCGGACAGTAGACGCTAAAATATGGCGAGCAGACGATGAAGGTTGATGAAAGGCTAATGGGGGAGCCCTCGCTATCCGCACTCTCCCTGGCATCGACGAACAATATATAAGAAACAAAAAAAAAAGAATGAAGAGGAACGACAAACGAAAATGATATTACTCACCAATAAGGGGCTTGCGTCCGTATCTCTCATAGAAGGACGACCATGTGCGGACCCCTACCGTATGAGGAAGGATGGCGTTCACCCACTCGCGGATACCATCAACGGGTGTAGGAGGCAGTTTCGCAGCTGTAAAAAACATAAACAGTTTTAGTACTACTCAAAAGAAATGCAGTTAGGTGTCATTCCGACCAAAAGTATAGGAACTTACGTGCAAAATTCCATTTCTCAGGGAATCCCGTACCGCACATAAAAGTAGTTCTCGTAGAAGCGACGGTTGGCTCTATCGTCCATCTTTACCACCAAGCTCTTCGAACCTCGATGGCGCATATGAATCATCGTGCCATGAATGAGTTGAGGGAAGATACTGAGCATGTGTCTCAAAGTGAT